TAGAGGGAAGCTGCACCAACCACCTCTGGTTCTTGCAGACGGCAAATGGAATGGAAACCCCTCCTGAACCGTGACACCTCAGGCTCACATTTTCCAGCAAACAAAAAAAACCGGGCAACACCCGGGCCAGAACGCAAACCCCCAAAAAGACGAGGGGGAGGTGTCTTAAGGGAGGGGCAGCCGCGTCCCCTCCTGCAGGTCTCCCCCCGAGGCCCCACCCGGGGGCGGAGAAGAAAATTTTTTCTCGGGAGCCGAGGGAGCAGAAGGCCGCGGCGGAGAAGGCGCAGGCGCGGGCAGGGTGGTGGTGGATCACTCGGAATTGGGTTTTGGTGTTTTTCTCCAACCTAAGGGAATCTTAAGGGGAATCTTAGGGAATCTTAAGGGGAATCTTAGGGAATCTTAAGGGAATTGTTTTTCTCTGATATCTTAAGGGAATCTCCCCCTTATGGGGGGATGTTGGGGGGTTTGTCTTTGGGGTTAGGCTCTTTTATCACAGAAGTGGTCATTTCCCACAGCCCTGGGGGGAGGCAGTGGTGCAAGCTGTTGCCCCTTTTTTGGTTGGGAGGGTTCCCCTACTAAACTAGACTACAGAAAAAAGTTGGTGCCCTTCTTCTAAGTTCTCTACTGGAGGACCTAGTTTCAGTTTCCGAGTCTCATATTTTTTGTCACTTGGGTTTGGTTGCCATTTTTCTGTGAAATTGTGGTTGTTTCTCAAAATGGGATTCGGAACCCCCCTTTGCTGGTTGAAAGGGTAACCACCAGACCACCACGACAATCTCACCTCCCCCAAAAACACCTGCAGAGAACGGTTTGGATCCGGCCTTTGTGGATCCATTTCTGTAGGATATTAAAAGAGTACTAAAAGATGACTAAAACAGGACCAACCATGGGTGAAATGTGTCACAATCAAAACCCGGGGAAGTGAAGGTTATTAAGGGACAATCCCAACCATAAATAGCTTCGGCCGCCTTCAGAATTCTTTACATGGTTCTGCGTCGACCGGTTTTGATTATGACCGATGACTCAAATTCACAAAAGGCGCATCCAAGCTGTTTTCTTGAGCACGGGTTTTCTGCGTCGATTTGGTTTGGTCCTGTCGATGTTCTTAGTGCGACGCGTTGGCCAGGCGCAGGCCGAGCAGCTGCGGAAAGAGGCGCTTCGATTGATCCTGGAAGCCCAGCAAGACCCCCCCCCGACACCACTTAGAACGTCTGGGGCTTGCTTTGAAGGGTGTATGTGGGCAAATGAGTGGTTTTCCCTTTGGTATCCCTTTAAACTTGCAAACGTGGGGGACCCTCCAAAAAAGTTACCCATATAGATGCTTGTTTAGGAACGTACTACCACTTGGCTGGGTCCTAGCCCATCTAAGCAGGGACCTTCCTTCCCATTGATCACCTTCGGCAAGAGAAAGTGTTTGGGGCCTTTCGAACCTACAAACATAGTTACTTAAACAACTTAAACACTCATAAACAGATGTCCAATTGTCTCCACTTGTCACTGGCAAAACAAAAAGACAGGGTTATTAGCTCAAGATCCTGCTAGAGCATTGTCAAGGAGTCCCCGCCAAAAATGATTTGATGTTCTAGAGTAGATCAACAGAGTCAGGACATGCCTTTTTTCTGTAGAGTCAGAAAATTGCACAGAGCCAGAAAGTTGTGTTTTTTCCGTGTGCCCAGACATGTTTGGTTGCTTTCCCTAGACTGGAAATGGAACAGAGCCAGACAGTTGCCTTTTCTACGCGTGCCCCAGACGTGCGCCAGGGTTGAACATCGCACAGATGGCGCACATGATTTCTGGCCCGGAAAACACAGGCTCGTTGGCGAACAGCAGACGCAAGAGATCTGCTGCGAGCAGATACCCTGTAGGTCAACCTTCATTCAAACAATGGTTGGGTTAAAATAGAAATTGTTTACCCAAACAATTATTATTATTATTATCTAAATTGCGTCCTTGCCATCCTTTTAATGGGGGGGCGAATCGGAACCCTGGGGGATAGAATGATTCCGTCGCGCAGGGAAGCCACGCCTTTTCGCAGGCTGAGAAGCTGCGACAAGAGGCTCGGGCCTCGAGAGAAAAGCGCTGAGTTCCTTCCACTGGGTGGTGCAAGAAGGAAGGCGCTTTCACATAATGTCTAGGTTCCCCAGTAGTGCCTTTTTGCCCTTTGTTGGGGGAGGGTTTCCCTACTAAAATAGACAACAGAAAAAGGGTACCCTTATTCTAACCTATCTACTGAAAAACCTAGATGTTTACCCCAGACTAATCAGCCTCGTTTATTAATATGGGGGTGTTCCTCTCCGAAAGTGATGAATCCCCAAATGCAGGAACATGCCCTCATAGCAAAAGGGAAGGGTATTTTGAAAGAACCCTGCCACCAAGTGGAACCCACCAGATGGACATGGTCTTCCAGGGCTTTGGAACCGAGTTTGGTTCCAGTTTAGTGGGCTAGTTATTGTTCAATTTCCAGCAGGATGAAGCCCCATGTTCTCCTTTTGTTTCCTGGCGTGCACTTCCACGGCCTTGTGCAGTGGTTTGCCCTATTTGAGTACCTGCCGTTTTGCCGGAAGATTGAAGAGAAGCCCCTTGATGCGAGCACCGACTATATCATGTGTATGGATATGTGCATACTGAAGGGAAATACGTGGCCCGCGTAGTAAGGCCTTTAAGTTGAATCGATAGCGGCTAATAGCGGTTCACCTGTTTTTTGTTGCCCATCACCAAGCCACCAGCCCCATGAATGACCAGCTTTATTGGTCGTTCTTGTAGGTGAAGGAGAGCCTGCCCACCACCACACCACCAATCCAAACCATCAATTAGAGGGAACCCCGGATTCGTACCTGGTTCCTTTTAGTGGTGATTTAGACCACTTTTGGAGGGGTACGCCCCCACAATTGTAGGACAGATGCATGAATCCCCGCCCTTTTCGATCGTGGGGTGTTCCCCTCCAAAAGTGATCATTCCCCATTGAACTCAGGGCTTATTGACTGCGGTGGGTGAATCGTCCAAGGGGCCTACCGGGACCCTTCTCTAAGGCTTTCTCCATGGCAGTTTCAGGCATTCGGCCAGATGGCTGTGAATCTTGGGGAGTTTCTCCTCCGAAATGGTGGATGGACATACAATTCCACCTAAATCATGCACCAACGGGTCCCCTAGTTAATTTCTTTTACCACCATCACGATTGATTGAGTGTTTAGAACTCACAATTAGGGACTTCTTCATCTTGGAAGTGACCATGCCGAATTTTAAGCACAGCTGCAAAAGTCAACATGTGTTGCAAGCCGGCCAATATGCCAATATGGCTGTGGTTTCAAAACAAATGGGATCCCACTTTGGGGTGGGTGCACCACCCATTGTAGTCGATTTTAGTGGAGATTGGGATGTTCACTGGGGGTACGATTTGGATTTTGACCCATGGCCTATGTCTTTGCGTTTCCCCGGCTCTTTCTCCTTCAGTTGTTCCCCCTTTGAGACCTGGGATGTTCACTGGGGGTTACCACCTTTTGGCCTGTGGCCTATGTAGGAATAGAAGAGTTTCTCGAGGAGGCCAGGAATCCTTGTGGCGGTTTCAACTCCATCTCCCTTTTGCACCCAGAGGCTCCAATTCGATTGATGGGCCTAACTTGACCTTTTGAGACCGGGTCACCAATTCATGGTTGTTGGGAAACATTTTACATTTTTGCTTATTGTGGTTTAGTGGTTGAAATCCCCACAAAACTGCTAAAAATCAAATGTTTGCTCCCCTTCCACCGTCAGTTAAGAATTCCCGGGTGTCTAATGCTTCGGGCTCGGGGTCTTCCATAAGCCGAGCCGATCGGAGCCTCTGGGCACCTCCAAAAGCGGCTGTTTTTCACACCAAGGGCTCCGAAAAAAAGATCTCCATTTGGTAACCATCCATTTCAAACACGTTGCAATTGTTCAACACCAAAATCAAGTTGGACACCACCATTTACAAGTTGCAATGTTCAGGTGTAGAATGCATCCGGATCCCTGTCATACCAGTTTCACACCAAGGGCCGGGTCTTTTTGCCCTTGGTGAGAAAATGGGCGACCCCCTCCAAAAGGGAATCCTTCACTACCAGGGAATCGATCATTTTTCCACCAAAGGCGGCCAACAGACCCCCCTGCCAAGGGCTGTACAGACGAATGTGCTCTTTGGACCATTGGAACTCAGGCCGCGGCTGCTGAGAAGAGAGCCATGGCGCGAGCCACCCAGGAGCGGCTCGGGTTTCTTGGGTTTCTCCCTTGGTTCTGCTAGGGTTGGTGGGCAACTGGGGTAGGGAGAGCCAATCCAGAAAAATGAATCCCTGAGGCTCGGAAATCTTTCGGTGTCCCAACTTGAAAGACTTTGTTGCCAGCTGTTTGTTTCTTTCAAGACAACTCGGGGGCCAAACTCAGCACGTCAGTTCACAGAGATCCGGGGCAAGAGACAACCAACGCAAGGATTCAGATTTGAGGGAGCCATTACTGCGACCTACATTTTTAGACCGTATCTCTGGGATCTCAACTCATAGGATCCTAACAACTCCCAAAAAATCCTCCTGAACGGCTTTTTCCACAACAGCTTTCCAGCTTTAGGGTCCTCGCCTAGAAAAGCTCCGGAGGTGGGTGGTTCGGTCGGGCCATGTTGTCCAAAGCGTGTCAGCCTTTTGACCTTTTAGCTACCCTGTTTGTAATTTGTTGGTCATGGCCCCAAAAGAACCCGTTATTTCTGGGTCTTTTGGGCACTGAGTTTTAAACATCAAGTTTCGGGCCGTTTTAAAGGGGGAGCCCTGTGAGAGACAGCTTTGGGGATCCTTTGGGCAACTGAGATATGTGTATGGGTCAAAATTAACACACCGGGGGACCGCAGATTTTAGTGTTTGTTTCCATTTACCAGGGTTCCATTTTGGAATTCCGGTTTTTTGACCCGCACCCATATGTGGGTGTGGCGTTTTGAGCGAGACGCGAAGCTGAAGCCGGTTTTGTGGTTGGCTTGCCATGCGGCGCAGGAGTCTGATGCTGCCATGGGGCAGGCTCGGAGTCGAACCACTCCCCAACCGCCAAGGGTCGGTTCATCACAAAAGGGCTATTTGTTTTTTTACAAATAGTTTACTCCTATGATGGCTACATGTGGTTTTCACAACACCCTGAACCCACAGAGTAATGGTTTGGGTCCTTACAGTACCAGCTTTTGCGGCGACCACCCCCCCCAAGAAGAAGAAGAAGAAGCTGACACCATTTTTTGTGGTCAATTAGCATTTTCTTGCCTGTTCGATAGGCAGGGCAGGGCATGAGTTGGAATGATTCCAAGGAAAACCATCCCCGATATGGTTTCCTTTAAGGGAATCCCAACACTGTTCATTCCCAAACTCTGGGTCATTCCCATCTGCAAGATTTTGACTTTGGCAAATCCGCTCAGTTGTCTGCTAGGACGCCCAAAGACCGCAAGGGTCTGGCGTTGACAATATAAGGGCTATGTTTTTCAGTACTAATATGCTACTCCCAGAATGACTAAATGTTGTTTTGCAACACCGTAAAAACAAGGCGGATGCCCTTCTTTGTGGTAAATAAACTGTTTTGGACTTTGGCAGGTCCACTCATGCGTGAACAAACCCTTGTGGTGTCTTCATGTTCGGAGACGAAGGCCCTTTGCTTGAGGCCTCCTTCATTCAAGTTTGCGAATCATACACTCAGTCCCAAGACATAAAGACAAGTTGAGTCTAGTAAATGAGGACTACACAACATGTTTGCATATTATTTAGGGACTAAACCAAACAATGCACATGTTTGTTTGGTTTGTTTGACATGTGTTTGCAGAAAATCAGAACTTAGCGAGCTCTACAGGTGGCGTCTTCCTTCTGAAACCAGAATTCGATGTCGGGATCGCCCTTCAGTGACTGCTAGACTGCTCTGGCTTGTTTCGGATCTTCACATCACCAACAGTACCAAAGCAATATGCGGACAGCGACCAAGGATCGTTTGCCAGACATGGCTGTAATCTTTGTGCAGAGTAATTCAAGTGTGATGCTGCTTTGTTGCTGCTATCAAGTAATCATGCGTGGTTGTTTGTGTGTGTGTTTCTGAAACAGTTGTTTTGTTGTTTGATTTTGTGGGTATTATTGACCTGTTTGTTTGTGTTTCCGCTTTTGGGCTGAGGTTTGCGTGGTTTATCAAACTCGTGCTTGGGTTCTTGTAATTTGTTTGTTATTCAGTTGTCGCTGAAATCAGCACGACTTTGTTCCTTGGGTAGCGGAACGGAGATTGAGAAAACTTGTGAAATTGGGCAGTTCACGTTTCGACATGCAACTGGGTTTTTACTCGCATGTGGAACAAGATCCTTCCCGCAAACAGACATGCAGATGGAACACAGACATGCAAAACAAACATCATCCAGGCATCGCAGCGTATGTCATTTGATTTGACACTTTCATTAATCCAACAATTAATGCACATAAATGCTACACCAATCCAGAACCCACCTATCCACCATGTATATAGACAAAATGCCATATTCAGCTTCATAATTGTTCCTATGTGTACGTCCATTTACCTATGTTCTGATGCACCCGCTGCATGAGCGGAACCGCTCAGGTTCGCGAAGAGATGGAGCGAGAGTTGGAGCACCTGCTGAAGCAGAAGGACGATCAGGCTTCCGAAATCGATCGCGCATGGCGGGTTTTACTAGGTCCCCCAGTAGTGCCAACTTGTACCAACTTTTTTTGGGGAGGGTTCCCGTACTAAAATAGACAAGAAAAAAGGGTAGCCTTATTCTAAGCTATCTACTGGAGGACCTAGTTTAGGTGTGACCCTTGCCCCTTGCACGTTTCTTCCCCAGAATTCGCTCCCCTTGTTTTGCTTTTGTTTGGGTCCCTTTGCTTTCTACTAACCAGGCAAACAATATATTTTTTGCTGGGATTAGTCTAATTCCAGCCTAGGTTTGGACAGGTCTCTTCATTTGAGCCCCCTCATAACATCGTAGTCTGTAGGTGTCACCTCGGAGATGCGTGCAGATCGCAAGGATCACCTTAGACATTTTTGGAAACAACTGGTTTTCCATGACAACTACAACAGGTTAGGGCTCTTGCCCGGGGAAGAGCAATCTCCTCGCAAGAAAAGTTGATGGAGTCTTTGATTATGACCATTATGACCCATTAACAAATCCGCAAATTATGGGCCATTGATGACCATTATGACCATTATGACCCATTGATGAAGTTGGTTCTTTAACAAATCCGCCACTCAGGGCCTATGGGAGATGTTATTCCTTCATCCCGCAGGGCCTCCCCGGGCTCGGGGAGGTTTTTGAACGGACCTGGAGTGGTTCTGGAGTGCTCTCCCCCATTCAATCCCTCGGTCCCTTTATGGTTGGTAAAGTCAGATCTAAAGAAACCCGTACTGTTCAGTCAAGTTAGTGAACAAGGTTAACCCCACATTCACGGGTCACAGGGTACGAAATGGGTTACAACCTCGGTTACTTGGAACTTACTAACTTGGCGAATGGAGCCCCCAAGTAGGCAAAGATGATGGGGGCAAACTTTGTTTTTTGAGGGTTTTTTACTGACCACTTGGGGACAACTGGGGCAGAACATGGTTTTCTGGTTTTCTGCAGGTTTTGGTGTAAGTAACTTGGGGAAAAGCCGGTTTTCTGCAGAGTTTGACCCACAACCACCACGGGAACCACCACGGAGCAAGCACTCCCCGAAAGCTTTCTGCCAGCTTCACGCGCTGGATGCCCGCCTCGGGGCCTCCGAGCGGAAGGCGTCGAACACGCTGAGGCCTGGGTGTAGGCACAGCGGAGGCAACATGGCCAAGAGTGAGATGGGAGTGAGATGGAGTGAGGTAGAGGGATATTCAAGGTGCTGAGTGGGAGGGAGGTAGGGTGATCAATTTCTGCAGCCAGCCAGCGCAGCTGGTGATGGCGAAGCTCTACGACCCTCGGATAGGTACTCCAAGCGCTTCCGTGTCTCTGTTCCTGGCAGGAATTCCGTCTTCTTGTGGGTTTTGTCTCTGTTTTGGGGGAAGTCCGTCTTGTTTTTTGTTTTAATGGGTTTTCAGGGGAAACCAAAATGGTGGGCCCTGTGAAGGACTCCTCTCGTGAAAACCTTCCTTTCAACAATTGGGAACTTCTCACCCCCCCTTGTACCTACCCCTTCTGTTTAATCTTGAGCCACACCCACATGCTCGGAAAGTGGTTCTATGTCGCGGCCAAGTTTCGCTTTGTTTGGTTCAAAACACATATGGCCGTTGTTGTTTGAGCGAGCTGGGTGTAGGACAGGGCCATCCTGGCGCAGCTCAGTTCCCCAGATTTTTGATAGAGTGACTCAGTTGTTCAAAGCCGACTTCTTGACCTGTTGGTTTTCCACTTTTGGTTCATGCTTAATCGGGGGTCCCAAAAGGTTAAGCTTTCATAAGCTTTCATTTCCAGGTCCTTTGTGCAAGTGAGGTGATTTCATGTTGGGGAGGAGCAATCGAGTGGGAAGCAACACGGATTGCTTGGATCGATCCACTCATGAGACAGGGCCAAATTGACATGGGTCGCGCTTGGTGCTCCAGCATGCACGCGCCGAGGCTCAAAGGTAGCCTTACAGCAAGAGGTGCTACACCTGCACGATGCTATGTCCAACACTTCCTAAGTTCCGGTTCGGACTGTAGTCGCTTGGGTTTGGACCATTTTGGACCATTTGGTACTTTAGCAGCAAGTTTTGGAGTTGTTGTCTCAAAGCAAACCCAAAGGGACACATGCAACAATGACTTGTTCATTCACGAATCCATGGCTCAAAAGGCGCGCTCGATTGAACTTGCAAAAGGGCCTTTGAACTACGAGCAAAACAAAAGGGTTGATGATTCAGATACCTCTGGTTTTCGTTCTTTTCAGCACGGACCAAGTCTAACCCCGGACAAGACCTTCCTCACTTCACCAATCTCTGAGGTGCGAGCTGAGCAGCATTCCAGTGGTGAAACAAATATTGGACTGTTTCTCACAAATCCACTCAGTACGTGACATCAAGACATGCTGTCATTTGGCATCCCTGCCAGGCAATCCCAACAGCATCTCAGACAGCTGCCTTCCAACGTGCACACCTTCCTTGCTGCCCCTTTTCCAAAGGAACAGGTCCACTTTTGGGGCGTTGCCTTGATAAATTCCGAGGGATACAAGATGGCCTATGTTCCATGGGTGTATCGTCCTCTCTTTGTTTGGCTTTTAGCTGGAAACCAAGGGGAACACACCAACAGGTTGTGGGGGCCCCCTATTTCAAGGCACCCCCATGTCACCGTTTTTGAGGTGGCAGACCCAAATTCGTCCGTGGAAACAAAACCGGCGCTCGCTCTGTCCCCTGCTTCGCCACTCCGATGGCGCGGCGACAGCCTTTGCCGGACGAGGCGACGCGAATCGCGGCAGCCTGGGACTTCTTCCGCTCGGTGACCCAAGCGCATTGCGCGCAAGCGCGACCGTGGCCTGTGCTGGTTTGTTGTTGGGCCTATGGATTGGGGTTTCGTTTTGAACACAAACCTTCCAAAGACCTGGTTCAACCGGGTGCCTGGGGAAACGGCCTGGGATTGACCAACAACAATCATGCTGATCCTAGGAGCCCAAGACCGGTTTCATTACTTGAAGCCTTTGAGGGGAAAGGCCTTCATATTTCACAGGGCTCCTTAAAAAATACATTTTGCCCATGGCTTTTTCCACCCAAATAAAGGGACACCACCATGTACAAGGCAATGTTTAGGTGTACAATGCATCCGGATCCCTGTTTAAGGTCCAAGGGGCTCCTAGGGTTAGGATACTCGTCTTGTCTTGCTGCTGGTGTTCAACTTGCATTTGCCTAAGTTCAGGGACTCTGATTTGCTGCTTCGATTGGCAGGGACTGAGAATTGGAAGGATCATCAACCATCTCTTGTGATGTCCTTTAAGGGCTAGGTTTTCCAGTAGTGCCCTTTTTTGGGGGAGATTCGGTTCCCCCACTAAAACAGACTAGAGAAAGAAATCGGGTACCCTTGTTTTAACCTCTCTACTGGAGGACCTAGAAGAACTCCCCTTCCGAGCTAACGCCGGGCTCCTCTTTTGCCCCTTGCCCTTGCCTTTGGTGCCGTCCATCTGCCCATCCCGCGTTGAGCTCTGAGAATGCCAGCGGGAAACTTGGCCCCTTTTCTCCTCCTTGACGGGATCCTGCAGATCTGCAAGCAGTATGAGAAATGGAATGACCCGAAGAAACCATCCATCCTATGGTTTTGTTTGATCCCAAAACGGTTCATTCCCAACACCCGGCAGGTCATTCCCTAATGAGCAGCAAGCTACTGCAAATGGAGGAGATTGAGCAGAGCTTGATACACCGATATGAGCATTCTGGTAGAACCAAGTCTGATTTTTGGGTGCTCGAATGGGGACTGCAAGAAAGGCTTGGCTTTAAGAAGAACCAACACTCACTCCCTTAATTTATGCTTTAAGCTTTTGGGATTGGACCATTGTAAAGTGGTAAACAATAATATAGACTTGTTTCTGTCCAAATGCTTGATCGGATGTGCGAAAAGGACACCCCAAAGACATCACAGGGACACCAGTGGTGGACAACTGCCTTTTGGTGGAAAGTGGCGGCCCGAGGTGGTTTAGGCTCGCCCCGCTTCGCCTGCGCGCCGATGGTGGGGCAGTCACTTGCTTGCACCTTGAGATGAACACTCCCCACGTGGGTGCTCGATTCACTAAGTTCGTAAGTGGGTAGTTAGTTGGGTAACCTGCTTACCAGCCCACCTCACTGACAAGTGGGTTGTAACCTGGAAAACCAAGCACTTACTAACTTGACAGAGCACCCAAGTACAACATTTCTCCTAAGAAACACCAATTGTAGAGGAAACTCCTTTGGGGACCTCCCCTTTTGGGTTCCATGAAAATTTGAACATAGGGGAGTACTACCCGTTTTGTTTATACCCAAGTCACTTTTTGGGTTTGGACCACTTTAGTGGTATACAAAACAAAACACGGGGAGTGAGACACACAGCGGGCTGCTGCTGTTTTCACCGAATACCCTGTGACAAAAACAGAGATTGGCACCTCATTCAAAGTTGATTTTGCCAATTCTTGTGGTCTTCCAACAGAGTCTGCACCCTTCCGACCCCAAAGCAGACATTTGACATACATATATGTATATATACACATACATGGAGCGTTTGAAGATTAGTTGCTCCGTATCATGGCTGGTGTGTGGTGTGACCGACTCGCCCCTAACACCTCGTGGAATCAAAATGGCTGTGCCATAAAACCTGGCATGGGTTAGATCTCGTCCTCCGGGTAGAAGAGCAACCTAGTTTGTAAGACCATGCTAACTCCAGCTGTTCAACTCGAGGCTTACCCTTAAGCAGGTATGGTTCGGAAGGGTCCTTCGGTTTCTGGTGAAACCTTCGAATGAAGTTTCCCCCTACTGGCACTAAGCTCTTCAAAAGCCGTTGGGCATCTTGGAACCTTTAACCCATGTTCCAACCTGTTCCAACCATTTCTAGCTGCCCCTTTTTCACCTTTCTCTTGGTTCCCTCAGGGTTCCACTTTTGGACTAACATAGACTTAAGTCCGGAATGTCTCCTTTTGTGGGAATGAACCACCCCTGGGTTTCAGTCTACCGTGGGGTAGTCAAAAAGTGGAACCCTCAGCAAAACGTGGCCAACAGCTGGCTGGGGATGGTAGGTCGGAGCTCGCGTTTCGGCTGCTGCTGCGACGCGCGGGCTGTGAGATCTGCTGGACCCCCATGCTGAGCCTTGGCCAATGGCTGTTGCTTTCGAAGAAAAAAAACAAAAAAAAACAAAAAAAACCCAACAAAAAAAAACGGGCGGGTTTTTGATGAACAGTGTGCGTGTGTGTGTGTGTTTTGTGTTTTCACTGTCTAGGTCCCCCAGTAGTACCAACTTTTACCAACTTGTTTTTGGGGGTTCCCCTACTAAAATATAGTACAGAAAAAGGGTACCCTTATTCTAACCTGTCTACTGGAGGACCTAGCTGTTTTCGCATGTTTCTTGTTTCTGCTTGTTTGCTCTGGCTTTGTTTAGTGGAGGGCTGCTAAAAGAAAGTTATCCTGCCACACAGAGGTTTAGGAAGCTTGTAATGGGTACCCTTTTCTGGTTGGGCTTAAAGGGGAGCCTGAAAAAAACGCTTTTTTTTTTTGGGGGGGGGGAGCGTAAACACATACCTTCCATTTGCTTAAGAATAGGTTTTTCCCCTTGTTGGTTTTAAAGTAATCTATCACCACTGGAACTATTTTTATTTTTTATTGGGGGCTTAAGCAAATGGAAATGGAAGATACCCAAGTTTGACTCGTCAGGATCAGGGTTGTGGGATCAAGGGGTTTCTCCCCACTTCTGTGATACAAGGGAATCCCCCTTTATATGAAGAAAATAGTCTTTGGGAAGCCCTTTCTGTTCTTTGGGAAGCCCTTTCTGTTGTATCACAGAAGTGGTCATTCCCCACAGCTGTCAGGATTAAACTCGGAGTAACTTCTTGGCGCCAGATGGAGCCAGTTGTAGCCGCGAGGCTGACTTGTCTAATGTGAGACCCAGATCCAGAACCCCTGGGTGATGAATATGGGGCTGCCCCCTGGTTTTATTGGGCGTTTATCACATGTGGAGGGGTATTAATAGGACAGGCTTATTTATCCTTTAACTGGCGGCAACAACACAGCTTTTTTTTGGTTTCCCCAACTATTCGAATTATGTTCCCACAAGGCGCCTCTCCCCACATGGTTGTGCCCCTCACAAGGGGAATCTGCGAATTGACTCGAGCGGGACCGGCCCATCTTGAAGCCTTTCCAAAAGGGATGGCTCTTGTTTGCTGTTTGTCTTTGAGCAAATATTGGTGTCTAGGAGTGAGCCCAGATTTGTGGCTTCTGCATTAGTATGCGATTCCACAGTCGAACGATTGTTTCAGAGATGGCTGAAGAGTGTAAGGACACGCGACGACCACACATCCACACGCTGCATCTCTCGAAGTGAAGTGCTACGACAGTCATCAAGCAATCCATGCTTGAGGGACATCATGGGCCCTACCCGTGCTCTTTGGACTCTTAGACGTTTTGTTTACAGACTCAAGGTACTCAAAATGCCAAGAACTTACATGAACAGGTTGCCAACATGGACCCTAGTGTCCTCAACAACCCTACCCCCCAAACAGCCTCTCAGCTTGACCTCTTCCTTTGGGACTGCGAGCGATAGCAACCATTGCTTATTTAGCTCCACTGTTGTTGCCAGGTGTTTGTATTGTTGTTTGGTTGTTGGGTGTGTTTTTGTAGGCGTTTTGCTCATTTTGAGTAGGGGGCTGCAAAAAAGCAAAGTTGTTTGCTGCCGTACCGCGGGCTGCAGTACCGTTACCCAAAAGGAAGCTAAACGTCAGCTTTCCACCGATTGGTGGTTTGGAGCCCCGTGGTTTGGTGCTTATGGGTGGGTTCACATTTACCCCCTACAAGAAGCAGGCGTTCAAGTCCCCAAACCACCAATCATTGTCAACGAGTTTAGCAGCCCGCGGTTGCTAAGTAGCAACCCAAAACCCACAGGGCGCGCGGTTTATTTAATTGTTTTGCCACAGATCTTTAGCAGCAGCCTCATGTCCATTGGCACGAGTTCACTTGAAACCTTAGTGAGGCGAGTTGGACTTTCCTCTAAAGTGCCCGTGTCAGTGTTTTGTTTTGAGTGTATCTGTTGGAGGTTTGTTTTATCCATGGGTCTGGGCCCATTTTGAGCCATTCCGGGTCGCCAAAGATCCGAAGAACATTATTCATGCGCTTTGGAACAAGCCTCACACGGCTTCCGAATTGTCATGCCAATGCTTCAAGCACACAATTTGTATGGGGTTTTTTACAGCCTTGCAAGATTGGATTGGTGGCATATTAGTCTTCACATGTCCAGAAACACATTCCTGAACATGCCCTTTCTTTGCAGAAAGCCATCCCATGTGAGGCATGCGGATGAGTTCGCAGGCAGGGGCGGTTGGGTGAAACCAGAGGCTGCCCGCCGAGTCCTAGTTGGATGATCACCCTTGAGCCGACGCGTATTTTCTAGAAAAAGCGGGTTTTGTGGATTTGCCCCTGTAAAAAATTGAAAGCGACCAACATCGTAGCCCACGTAGGACCAACAGGCGGAAGAACAGATGGAATCCGCGAAAAGCACATCCAAACCGGTTCTATGTGTGCATATATATATATATATATATTTCTGGCCAGCGGCATTGGTTGGATGTCATCCTACCTGTTTTTGGTTTATCCTTTGCCACAAGCAACTTTTTGCTTGGGGGTAGGGCATATGCTTCGAGGAAAATGCTAACTGTGGTGATTCCTCAAGTGGTGTTTAGAAGAGGTAACTCCTGTTCTGATTTCATCCAGACAGCATTCTCTTTCCAGTCGTTTAGTCTTACGTTTTAAAAACAAATCATTATGTTTATATTAGGTAGCACCCCTCAGAGCGGTTGAGCTTCCCATGTGATGATGTCCTAGTTTTCCTTTTGCTTCCCTGTCAATCCGGGTGAGAATGAAGGGAGACCGCAAGCATACACACACATCCTAGCTGTTTGTTCAAATAGAGCACCCCAAAACGACGTGTTCCTTCCACCTTGGGTGGTTTAAGGTAGGTGGCACCCTACCTTGAACCACCCTAAGCCCGCTGAAAAACACAGCCACGACCCACCCAAACAGGGGGACACCTCCCTCGCGTTTCTCGGCTTGAGGCAGCTCGGAGGAGGAGATCGGGCGTCAAGGCTTCGCCAGCTGCGCGGAAGACAGGCGCCAAGAAATGGGCTTCGCCCTTTTGTTGGATGTACCCTGTCTTGGTGGCTCCCAGCCATCCGGTTCCTTAGCCTTTTAGGTTTTGCTTAGTGGTAGTTTCCATTTAACGTTTAGCAGGGGATCTGAGGACAGCCCCTTCTTGCCTCTCTTCTGATGGTTTTCTCACTTGAGGTTGTCCAAAAGAAACATGGTAGTCTAGGTTTAGTATCTGGATGTTTCTCGTTTCAAAACTTGCATTGCTCGCTGCAAAACGCTAAAGAGTTAAACAAACGAAAACGATTGTTTGTCCGCTCGGGGGAGAAAAAAACACATGGGCAGCATACTGGTAGCCGACCAAAAACGATAACAACGCGAACACACAAACAGCGACAACGTGTTGCATAAAAATTGCCATTTGCTGCCAAGGTGACTTACTTCCCGTACTACACTTGTACTGAAAGGTTGCGATTTTCGAGATGGGGTTGCGATTTTGAAGCTGGAGATGCCAAAGTGTACGTCGCAGTTTGTGTACTACACTTGTACTGAAAGGTTGCTATTTTCATCTGGATTTGCCAAGGTACTTCGCTTACCTTACTCGTGCTGAAAAGTTGCGGTTTTCGAGCTGGAGCTGCCAGAGTGTACTTCGTGTGCTACGCTCGTACTAAAAGGTCGCAATGACCTTCCGACTGTGGGAAGTAAACCGTTTTGGGATTCCCTTAAAGCTGGGGATGATTTTGCTTGATATGCCATGTCTCATTCGCTGCCTATCGAACCAGCAAGTTTTGGGTTGATAACCTTTATTCGGAGCTTTTTGGTGGCCCATCAACTCAGGAAGTGTGGCGTTGCAAGGGAACCCCCCCCCCCCCCCCCCGAGGGTTGGTAATTAGTATTTAGGGGGGCCATTGTTATGGGCCAGCGTTTATTGTGGTTTGCCGGCGTGAAAAAATCATTCCAAGGAAGAAATCTGCAGGTTTGATTTCAGCAAAATGGCGATCAAGGGCCTAAACAGTTGATCCCAAAATAGGGGCCCGCACGGGCCCCTGTTTTTGGGACCTGGGTTTGGGGCTTGGCGCGAAGCGTCCCAATGGAATTGGGACCTTTCAGGATTGCTGTCGTCAAACAAGAGAGACTGACTGACCCTGACCAACCAGGGCAAAACACTTGTATTCCGATTTTGGAAGTGGTATATAAGGGGTATGTAGAACCAACCAGGGCAACACCGGGCAAAACATTTGCATGTGTATCATGTAAGTGGTGTATCAGGGGTATGTACGTCTGAAGAGGGAATGGCCCATGGCCAATTTAAAGTTCTTTGCCCATCCACTAAAAAGATGCGATCGAAGCGGGGTTGCCCGAGCGAGGCCCTTGGTTGCCCAGTTCTGTGCCAAGACGCCGGAGGATTTCCTGGAAGCGGCGCGGCAGGTGCAGGAGCGGGGGACAATTGGGGTTTGAGTTTGTTCCTTCTGTTCCTGGGCCACTGCGAGATTGGAGCATCATGGCCGTATTTTTTTTGAGGGGTCTGTAACAGGGCTGCGGCGGACATTCGTTACAGACCTCGTTACAAACCTCTGTATCAAGACCCGCTGGCTCGTTACACACCCCTCGTTACACACAGCAGATGAACAAACCCAACCCGCGCCAGCGACCCCCCTTTTTGCCGCAGCTTGGCTTGTGTTGAACAGTTTGAGCGGGAGCTGCTGCTCTTTGTTGTGATGCGCTTCATTGTGCTACTGATGCTGGTACTTGTTGTTTTCCCGTTACAGACCTGCGCAACAAGGACCTCCGTTACAGACCTCCGTAGCAAGATTCGTGGCGCGTCGCGCGTTACAGACTTTAAAAAGTCATAGCCAGACATTAAGGTTGGTGAGTTCCCTTTTGCATTGGTAGTTTGAGGGTCCAGGTGTGTTTCCGTTTTTCTTTTGAGGGGGAAGGGTGCAAGGTTTCTTTTGCTAGGAGATTGGAGGAAAAACCTCACTCCTGCTTGTTTCCCCTGCTTGTTAGCTGTTGGAGTGGGGTACTTCCCTTAGATTGCTTCCAGTGGCTGAAATGAATACGTGTCGCGTTCCACTGGTTTTGAAGGGAATCGATCTCACTACTAGAAATAGTGTTTTCCCGCTGAAACATATGGGGTCAAAGACCTCAGTAGTTGGACAAATTGATCCTCACCGCACTCTGATGTCCACGAAAGGGTCCCATTCAAATTCACGAGCCTGGCAGACATATAGATTTGGTTTCTCTTGCGGCACGCGTTCATAAATTAGCTAGTTGGTTGAGCTGAATCCGAATCTCCACCGAAATCTATGTCCTTAAAGGGTCGCCGGCTAAAATCATACGAGACCCGACAAATGGTGGGTTTTCCTTGTGGTTTCCGTTTAAAACATATTAAAACATACCAAACAAGGGTATCCTCAAGAAGAGAGACACCCACCCACAATTCTGTTTCCACCATTAAACCAATGGTTGGGCTAATGCAACCACCAGAATGTTGACCCTTCAGGTTCATATAAATTGGGTCCCCTTGGTTGCACCCTAGGGCATGGGGTTTCCATGAAATTTGTTCGATCGAGGACAGATGCGACGCGGTGGATCTTAACCTGGGATGCCCCCAAAGCAAGGCCATCAAAGGCGGTCGCTCGAGACCGCCGTTGATCGGATACGATCGTTTGGGGGCCCGGTTCCGGGACGGGTGGCGATCCGTCGTTTTTCGGAGTTGGAGTAGACCTTGCTTGTTGGTTTCAGAGGAAAACCAAAAGAAGCCAAGGAATTTTGGGGCTTTGGACCCCCCGTTGCGGATGGTTGTGGAACCAAAAAAAGGCAGACAATTTTGGGAGTCCCTACGTTGAGAAACACCCATGTGGGGAAGACTAGAAGAATGGAATTGAGCCCCCCCACCCTTTCGCGGATGAAAGAGGACAGCCTTATTCAGCAAGCAAAACGACCATGGTGTGTTGGGTTTTCTGTGGGGGCTGCTACAACCTCCAAAGTCAGGTAGTAGACCTACCTAAGCAAATGGCCACCGGATTTTTGGGCACTTGTGTGGATATAGTGGTATCGGTGTGTCGTTTTTTGAGGGTACCCTGTTTGTTGATGGTTTTCAGGGGAGAATAGCAAAACCACCATTTTTGGGAGGTCCAACCTTAAACAAGGATAGTGCCGAATTACACTCAGTTTAACTCTATGGGCCATTTGGGAGGTACATGTTTCCCCGCAACTACTTGGAAGTTTGATTCGGCAAGCTAGAAAGTGGTGATCGCCAATTGGCTTGTCTGTTATCCCCTAACCAGGTTAACCCCACATTCACGGGGAACTTGTAGGTAGTTATAACCAAGGTTACCGACAACTTCTGGCTCGGCGAATAGTTTGACAATATCTCTCAGAAATCAACCCTCCCCCAATGGGCATTGGTTACTTGGGTACGGTCCTCCCTCCCGCCCGAAACTGACCTTCCAGATGCTCACTTTTTCCAGGGAAACATGCGAAATTTTGACACGTCTGCTGAAATGAACATGTTTCAATGTTGGTGTTAAAGCGAACCCTATCACTACTGGACGTATTTGCTCATTTTCTTCAATGGGATGAAAAAAGCAAATGCAAGGAACCTGCCCCTTTTGCAGGTGGCTGGGGCGGCGCACTCATGGAGGAAGACAACTGGCATTTGGCCTTCAGCATCGTGCGCCTCTGCGCCGGGGCGTACTGGGCTGGCACGTTGCGAGTGCCGGTGACCTGCAAAATCCGGATCTTCGCGCCTTGGAAAGGGCGAGGAGCTTCCATTTCGGAGGATATGGGTATCTAGGTCCCAGTAGTGCCCTTTTACATATTTTTTTTGGGAGGAATCCGCTACTAAAATAGACTACAGAAAAAGGGTATCCTTATTCTAACCTCTCTACTGGAGGACCTAGGTATAGATACGGCTATACATAGGCATGTGTGCTTAAGAATATGTCCTACTGAAGTTTTCCCGTGTTGGTTTTAAAGGGAATCCATGACTTCTCGGAAAGCATTGTTTCCAGGGGACTTGTGCAAATGGAGGGTTTTGTCTGAAAGGAAGTGCAACAAATTATGTCCGCCTGAAGTTTCCTTCAGACCCAAATTGTTTAGTGGGGTCATTACCAAGTCAATTACCAACTTGGCCGGACATCCAAGTAGGGAATCCTGTATCCTCCCCTATTTGCCATCAATTGGAAGGCCGGGCATTGCCACAGGTGTCCTTTTTGGGCGGCCATCGGCGCCAAAAACGCACACTGGCTTTGGGTTTGGTTCTTGGTTGCAAAGGGATGTTCGGCCAACTTGATGCTTTCAGTTGTTTGCGTTGCAGGTGTGTTTGACCCTCGACATTTCAACTTAAACATGGGTGATTGCAACCCAGATTTATGCTTGGCGAATCTCTTATTTTGTTATGGACAGTTTGATTCTGAATCTGTCTGATTTTGGAGCCCAAGAGGAAACCAAGCAGTTTTTTTGGGGAGGTCGTCCCCTAAACAAACCGAGCATATGGGTGGAAAGCGGGCATCATGCGCTGACAGAGGTTTTCTTGTCATGTTTCAAGCAGCTTTTCTTTGCGGCCGTTCATAGGCGGACGACCGCAAGACGGTGCGGTTTGCCAAGATGCTGGAGGAGCGGCCGCTATGGAGTCCCTAGGCTGGGGTGGAAGGGATTCCCCAGGGCTCCCTGAAGAAATCGGAATCGAACCCGAAGAAGGAACCCTAGAAAAACCCGATTCGGATTTCATAAGCCCAATTTGTTCCGAGTTTCGTTGCGCTCAAAGCACAGGGGTCCATTGTTTGACCCAGGTGGGTAGACTGAAAGGGGTGCCCTTTGCCCAACAAGGGTGGGTCCCTTGAAACATACACATCCAAATGTGTTTCTTCAGAGCCCAATCAATAGGCCCCCTTTAAAGGCAAACCAAAAGCATGTCGTACTTCTATTTGCTTCATGTTGTATGCTCCCCTGTTGGTTTAAGGGGAATCGGTTTCACTACCGGAGATATCTCCCCACCCAACAGGTTTGAGGTGAAACTTTATCTGCTGCTTGCGACGTCACCTACTGTGAAGGCTTCCTTTGTAAGGTTCGTTTACTTTTCGGTAGGTGAATCACATTAGTCAAGGTGTGCTTGATCCAGAAGGTTCTTTACTCCCTGACTGCCTGGACTTTATACGTTTTGTGGGAGGACCATTTTAGTATCAAGCAAATAGTCGTGGCTTGTTTGGCCAATCCGGATCAGAAGTGAGGTTCCGTCATGCTCATAAGTGGTCCCTTCTGTGGATGGACAAAATCCTGCACCACTTTGAAGCATGGGAAACCATTGTTTGTTGGTATTTACAAGGGAATCGAATTCTTCCAGGGTTTCTGAACGGTGGTGCGAAATGGATTTCGCAACCATCCACAGTATGGTTGTCAAGGGCGCCCCAATAGGGCCCCACAACCCCAATAGCGACTCACAAGGCCTACCGTAGGTGGACGATTTAATCAAACCTTTACAGCTGCAACGCCCCCCCTCGAACCCCAATTTCAATGTTATTGCCCGTTTGTAGGGTCGGGCTGGGTGGACGAATTAAATCAAACCCCGATGACATGAAAAGCACTTGTGTTTAGTGTAACATTGACATTGGGGGGTACGGGGGGGTGTGCGCCGCATCTGTTGGCGGTTTGATTAATTTGTCCATCTACTGTAGGAACCGGCAAATAGTGCTCCTTTGCCACAAAGAAACATACTGATGGTTGCAAAATCCATAAACCGCACCGATCAGAAACCTTGGTTCCTTTTGGGTGGGCCGGGGCTCGCAGGAGGCGGGCTGCTTTTTGCTTACCGTGCATGGACGGCAGCGCGACCGCGCGCTACACCATGCGCCGGCACGATGGCAGGTGCGGATGCGGCTCGTTTTTGGCGTGTCTTATTTTAGGGGTCCCCACAAATTGTAGTTCAGAGAGACAAAGAGAGAGAGAGAGACAGAGACAGAGAGACAGAGAGAGAAGCAGAGAGAGAGAGAGACAAAGAGACAGAGACAGAGAGAGAAGTAGAGAGAGAGGGAGAGAGAGAGAGAGAGACAAAGAGACAGAGACACAGAGACGCAGAGAGAAGCAGAGAGAGAGAGAGAGAGAGAGAGAGAGACAAAGAGACAGAGACACAGAGACAGAGAGAGAAGTAGAGAGAGAGAGAGACAAAGAGAGAGACAGAGAAAGAGAGAGAGAGAGAGAGAGAAGCAGAGAGAGAGAGAGAGAGAGAGAGAGAGACGAGAGACAGAGAATGAGCTTTCCCAGAAGGGTACCGAAAGAAACCTCACCATTTGTGTTGCGCAGTGGGGGTCTTAAAATTTTGGGCCCCCAAAGTGGATGGTGTCCTTGGGTTTCCCAAGTCAAAAGCAAATGCCCGCCAACAAATACGAGCCCGTATGTGCCCTTTGGTGTGTTGCGTTAGTAGACGTTTGTGTATTGTACGTTCTTTCTCTTTTGCATTGCGTTTTCGCTTGTGTACGCGTTGTGGTTTTGCGCTTGGTTTTTTTTCCCCGCGTTGATTTGCGTGTTGTTTTGTTTGGTTATTGTTGTTGTTCGGTTGGAGGGGTTAAATCTAATGGACGTATGTTGTGACACTCAAGCATTGAACGGTTTCACAACGGAAGGCACAAGGCTTTACCTAGTGCCATGGTCCATGTGTCTCGAAAAGAACATCCGAGGGGCTTGGGATTCCAGCCGTACCCTCCTTTTTTAGATGGGCTAAGACCCGAGACAATGGGTGGTTTCTGAAGCGTTTGGGCGACGAGCATCGGGAATCAACTCGAGCGATTTTCTGGGGCAGGCGAGTTACAGTGTTTTTTTGGGCACGTGAGCTACTGTTTTTTTGTTCAAGATGCACGCACACACGGGGACCCAACATTCACAGAAGCTGAGTTTGGGAGTCAAGTAGTGTTCCTCCGCGGCTGTAGGGAACCTCCTAGTGGTCCCTTTCGCCTTAATCTACACTACGCAGATGATGTACTCACTTATTTTCTGAGCAATGTTAATAAACCCGTCCCACGATCAGTAAGGCCTCCCTCAAGGGATGCATTTTCGCTAAACGAGGAGCCCTAGGAGCCCAAAACCGATTTCATGATTTGCAGGGGTCAAAGGCCTTCATTGTTAAGGTGTTGGGCTAAAGGGGTTGATTAGCAGTATTTGGAGTGGGCCAAACGCCCCGTTTTCTCAAGTTTTATGTTATTTTTTTTTTCAGACCTATTTATATAATTTAACCCGATATTTGGAGTGGGCCACACATGGGACCTGGTTTATTTAAGCCAAATGGGTGTGGCTCAAAATCAAAGAGCTACCTGGACCCTCGGAATTCCCTTGAACATGAGTGATTGCCCCAAAATTGGACACCACCTGTAGCCTTGCCTAGGGTTTGCTTTGACCTGGTCGCAGGCGTGCTCTGCCAAACGCCCAGCACGGCTAACAGCGGAAAAGCGGAAAAGTGGTAGGTGAATTCCCTTTACATGGTTGTCGTGGGGAAACATTTTACATTTTTGCTTATTGTGGTTTAGTGGTTGAAATCCAACCACTTAACTGCTAAAATTGATTTGTTTTGCTCCCCAAACCCAACGTCAACCAAGTTTTTTTGGGGGGTAGTTTGTGGGTGCAGATGGAACCACCCCGCAGCTTGAAGTTCCATGTTGCAGGCCATCCGCGCAGTGCAGCAAGCGCTGCGGATCCCGGTGCTGGCCAACGGGGGTGTATCTTCCCTGGACACCGCAGAGCGATGTCTGCAAGAGACGGGCTGCGCCTGGGATCCAACAAAATCCTGAGCCGCAGAGTTGTGGATCAACAAACACCTGGGCCCCAAACTTGTGGCTCCCGGTTCTTCAGGGCTATGGAATGCTGCATGGTTTTAGTGGGGTTTCGCTCAAAATGAAGGAGTTAGGGCAAACCGCTGGTGTGGGTATTTGTTTCCATCCGAGGCGCCATTTTGGGTACCATGTTTTGAGCCACGGCCAATTGTGTGGTTGTTTGAAGCCTTTTTGAGGTGGTGGTTGTCCCTGTGTGCTAGTTTTTCAGGGTATTGGGTATGATGCTAACCCCTGACCTTGCATTCGATGAAATTAATATGTCATTTGCCCCGTTTTTTTTGTTTTACTGGAAATCGATTTCACAACTGGACATAGTTGCTCATGTTGTCCCGGGGACTTAGGCAAATGGAGGAAACCCAAACCAAACCCAATGGAATCCCGGTCGGGCGTTCGGTACGGTACGTTCGTTCGGTACGGTACGTTACGGGGGTGGTAGTTGAGAGCTCGTTTCGGATTCTTTAGAGTTCCTTAAAGGTTCCTTAAGTTCCTTCGGGAGCCTTAGGGAACACCCCCCATTCAAAAGCTACGTTGGAATCGACTGCTCAGGCAGGAAGGCAGAGTTTCCAGGGAGGGTTTTTCGGGACTGCACGTGGGAAGGTACCCCTAAATGTCCCCTTGGTAACATGGTATGTATTTTTGTGGTTTCATTGTCCAAATTGCGAACTTAACTCACCCTTGCCCTGGAAAGCCCACAAGTGGCTTGCCTTCAATTTCACGAACAGCAAGTATACCACAAACACTTTGTAGCCTGGCGCCGAGTCTCAAAAACTCAAAAATGGAATTGGGGGCAGGGGTGGCCCCTGCAACTCCACTTGTCGTTTCACTTTCCCTGTTGTGGTGTGGACTGGAATCATGGACTTGGGGACCCCCGGACCACCCTTGAAGGTCGGGGGGATGTCTGGCCAGCTCGCCAATCAACGGCGGACTCGTGTGCAGTTTTGCTGGTATGGATTCAGCTGAGCTGTATGCAGTTTTGTGTATTCGTGTGCATTTTGCTTCATGTGCAGTTTAGCTGTGCAGTTTTGTGAGATGTTGGCAGTCGGGCGTCTTGCTTAGTTGGGTGCGTGGTGAGCATTCCTCGCAAGTCTAGCCTAAGACCAACTGGTTCAACAGTGCAGCGGCCAACGCAAATGCCCTTGCCACTCATCTACCAATTTGCTCAAGAATGAGTTGTATTTTCCTTTGTTGGTTTTAAATCACTAATTACCTGGACCCTCAAACAGAAGAACCCGATTTTTTCTCTACGGGCAATATCCAATGTTTAAGGAAATTGTGTGGGTGCAGACTTTTTTGGGGTGACTTGAGCAGATGTCAATTCGATATCCTTCGGACAAAAAAGCTGTCTTGAGGCGTCGGCGTCATGGTGGCAACATCTTTGCTGCAAAACCCAGCTTCGTGGTTGCACGACCAGCAACCAGCTTCGTAAGTCTCATTGGTTACTTGGGTATGGGTCAAACTTAAACCACCACCAACCGCAGGTTTTAGTCCTTGCTTCCCTGTACCAGGGTTCCATTTTGAGTACCTATTCTTGACCCACACTCACTTGGACGGTGTTTACGCTAACCATCCACCGTAGAAAAGACTGCTTTTTGGACAGCATTTGGAGTGTTGGACAAGGGACCAAGCAGTCGAGGTGCATCGAATTGAGCGGATCTGAGCTTTTAGCTGCCCCGGTTTGTTTCACGTTTAGTCAATTCCCCAAAAGGTGATCGCTTTGTTTTTTGACTCCTCACTCCCCGCGTTCCTGGACTCAAACTGTTTGGGAAGACTACTTGTGGCATGGAACCTGACAAACAAAGCAAAAAGCTTGAAACGGAAAATGGTCTTCCAGGACCTCCCGACCGTCAGGCTGTGTTTTCTATGGACAATCAACTCAGGAAGTTTCAGGGTCCCATCCGGGGCAATCGAGTACTGGTTCCACTCATCGCGGTGAAGCCGGGGGGCAATTTGGCAGATGTTATATGTCCATTTGCTTAAGAGTATGTTTGATTTTCCCTTGTTGGTTGTAAAGGGAATCTGTCACTACCGGACATATTTTTTTGCCAGGGGCTGAAGCAAATGGAAGCACATAGGCTGAAGTCAGAGGGGTACTGTGGATTCCTCCCCAAGCTTTTGAACCAGAAAGTATTCAAACTCAAATGCACTCAATGTGCCGCGTTCCCTACTTGCACCGCTCACTCCCTGAGTGCATGGACTTTGCTCACTTTTTGGGTTTGGTTGCCATTTTCGCGGGCTTCGGACTTAGGAATCAGCAGTACCTCGAGTGGGTCGAAGATATCAGTTTCGGGACTTGATGCTTCGATGATACATTTCTCGCTGGTCCCTAAGAAGATAGAATCGAGGGAGGGGGGTGATTGGAATTCCAGGTCTGGTTCCATCTTCCCTATGAGGAACCCTAGACGAATGGAATCGCGGGATCCGGGATCCTCCCCCCCCCCCCCTCAAGGTAGGGGGGGATGTTTGGGCATGTTGTTCGGCCAATGTCAGGAAGTGAGTTGAAAACTCGACCAACTCAAGAAAGGCAATCTCTGGAAAAAAAAACACACACACACCAAAAGAAACAAAAACAAACAAAACACAAAACATTGTTTGGCCAATGCACCCCTTAACCTTCCCTGTAAGCCGAGATGTCAGGCTTTGTTTGAAGGTTTCAGCACCACCAAATCGGCACAAACTCACGTTTCGGTGTCCCTTTTGGCAGCTTCTAGACCAAAATAGCTTCAGTTCTCCTTTGGCTTCCTTCGAAATGATACAACGTGTACCCTCCCACACCCCTTCTGTGATGACGACCATATATACTTGTGGTCAATTGCGCTTCAGGCATATTATCACACTCTTCGAAGTGGCAAATCCATGGAAATGGTCCCTGGTACTGTAGATGGACAAAAACGTGCACCAGATGGTAGGTGGTCTATTATTTACAGGGTTCAATCTATGCCAAGTGGTGCAGGTTTCTTGTCCACACAAAGGGATATGTTCCAGAGCCATGAATCATGTCTGGTCTTGACCAAACGTCGCGTCGTCTGGTCCAGAGCTTTTGAGTTTACAGTTTGCTTTTCCATTCAACCTGCCTAGAGTCTCCATGACCCCTAGAAAAGGGGTCATACCCCCTTAATTTTGGGTAATGACCAACCATTTTTAAAGGGTCGTGGAGACTCCTGGTACAAGAGGTCGAGGGGGGGGGGGGAGGGAGCACCCCGGGAATGGCCACAGTGATCTTCATTCAGCCAGGTTCTTCGGTTGTCGAAGTTGTGCTACCCGAGTGCTATCCTTTGGTGCGAATCAAAAGCCGCTACCGTGGATGGACGAAATCCGTTTCGCACCACCTAAGACACCCTGGAATGATGTTTCCCCTGTAAGTACCAGCAAACAATGGTTTCAACCATGGTTTCAAATTGGTGCGAAACGGATATCGTCCATCCACAGCATGAACCTATGTTGCACCCCTGAACACATATCACCAAGGGAAGCTCAGCATGGGCCAACAAGGCGACAAAAAAAAACGAAAGGGAGATCAGACCCAGATTTAGAGAGACCTAAGAGTGAGGTTGCGCCTTTTCCTCGGGTTTAGCCTGGGCCCGTCGACCGGGGCCAATGCCCTTCCCAGCCAAGGATCTCTTCTTGCCGGAGTGGCTCGAGTGCGGTAAAAACGGGGGGGGGGGGGGGTGTTCAGCTGGTGAAAGGTGATCCCCAAGTGCTCAGCTTTTAGCAGGGGATCTGAAAATGGACAGCCCAGTAAAAACAGCCCGGCAATTCTATTGAAAGGACTTTTTGTTGGAACAGCCACATGTTTTTTGTTGCGTAGACGTTTGCATTACAACCACCTTGGAACAGGACCCTTCGGAGCCCCGACATCACAGACATCAGGCAAGCCTTCATCAGTGGTTTGGAGCCCGATGGTTTGGATTTAGATTTGAAGCCCTTGAGGATAGCCACCAAACCACCCACCAAACCGACCAAAGAACCACCCTTTTTCCAGGGAAGCAGAATTTAGGCGGTCAGCCTTCGATTGTTGAGAACAAATGCCATCCCCGTGCGACTGAGAGGTGGATGCCCCTGCCAGAAGAAAACCTTCGGAAGCCAACTCGTCCCTGGTGGATGGACAAAATCCGTTTCGCACGTAAGAAATACTTATCAACAATGGGATTCTCATAGATTCAAGTGGTGCGAAATGGATTTCGCAACCATCCACAATAGGAGCCCAAGACCCCATTTGAGGCCCAAACGAGGTCAAAGGACCAAACATATTTCGCATCTTGGGCTAGTCCGTGATGTCCTGGAAGTTCCCGTGGTTTAGGGTTGGCTCGCGTGCAATCTGCCAGCTCCGTACGAGCAACTTCAGCTTTAGAGGAAAACCAGCAGGAAAACAACCTATTGGAAAGCTGATAAAATATAACCTACTTTTTATTTTTAGAATACAGTTTTCTTTTTAGAGGAAACCAATTGTTAGAATCCTGCTATGCAGGTGTGATTTTTTAGTGCAGGGCCCCTGGTATTATTGCTTTAGCGGGGGTTCATGTCCACCAACCACTTCTGAGGTGGTAATAACACACACACAAACACACACACACACACACACACAAACACATATATATATATATATATGTATACGCATACATATATATATATATATATACATACACATACATATATACACATACACACGCACACACACACACACCCGCACACCCGCACACCCGCACACACGCACACACGCACACACGCACACACACGCACTCACTCATACACAAACACAAACACAAACACATACACATACACAAACACACACACAAACACAAACACAAGCACAAAAACAACCACAACCACAACCACAAGCACAAGCACAAACACACACACACAAACACAAACACAAACACAAACCCAAACCCAAACACAAGCACAAGCACAAGCACTAGCACTAGCACAAGCACAAGCACAAGCACAAACACAAACACAGACACAGACACAGACACAGACAGAGACACAGACACAGACACAGACACAACCGCAACCACAAGCACAAACACGCACACACACACACGCGCACACGCACGCACACACACACACACAGACACACACCACACACACACAAACACGCAAACAAACAAACACACACACACACACACAGACACAGACACAGACACAGACACAGACACACACACACACACAGACACAGACACAGACACAGACACAGACACACGCACAGACACACACAGAGACACACACAGACACACACAGACACACACAGACAAACACAGACAAACACAGACAACCACAGACAAACACACACACACACACACAACCACGCACAAACACGCAGATGCCAACATACACACATACACACACACACAAACACAGTAGAGCGATTTCGGCTGGCGTCCTCCAAAGGGCTTTTCTTTGATCCAAAGCGATCTTTCGGACTGAGGTCAGAATCGGCGGGAACTGCCTTGGCGCAGTCTGTAAGGCTCCGGCACGAAGAGATCCGCTGGCGCGGCACCATATGGGTGTGGCTTTTTGTTGAGGGTGCCCCTTGTTTTGTGGTGGTTTGAAGGGAAACCAATAGAAGAACCACAGCCATCTTGGGGTGTACCCCAATATCCCCAAAGCATTTCAACATCAGGCAGTGCCTGCGGTACCTGGAGATCTGCGAGGAAACGCCCCCTTGGGCGCTGCGCTGGGCGCGGGATCATCTCCGGGCGCTGCTGGCGGGTGACTTCGCCAAGCAAAAGTTGGTGAGGGCGGAGGTGGGAAAAGGAAACATATTTTGTCCACATCACCTTCTTCGTAGGTGAGTTTCCCTTAGCATGATAGTTTTTTGGACCCATAGCCATAGGTGAGCTTCCCTTGGCAGGGGTAATGTTTTAAAGGTGGGTGAATTGTAACGGCCTCACACGACCGAATTCACCCTAAATGGTGGTTTATGTGGGGAATAGCCCCCCATCCACCTTATTTCAGGTTGGTGAAATATTATAATTCACCCAGACTATTGGTTGCTTCCATTTGCTGAGAATAATTTGCGTTCTGTTAAAAACCTGTTGGTTTTAAAGGGGATTGGTTTCACGAGTTTTTGTTGACGGTGTTTTCAACGAACAACCAACTCAGGAAGTTTCAGGGTCCCATCCGGGGCAACTGAGTACTCACCTTGGCTGAAAACAGTTACTCGGTCTCCCAGTAGTGCCCTTTCTCACCTTTTGTTGGGGAGGGTTCCCCTACTAAAATAGACTACAGCACAAGGGGCACCCTTATTCTAACCTCTCTACTGGAGGACCTAGGTTATATATATATTGTTTGTTGGTTTTCCAGGGAATCGATCTTATTACCGTGGTTTTGCAGGGGACTTCAGCAAATGGAAGCTTGGGATGGTTTTGTTTTCCCCCTTGGGGTTGGAAGGGACTTGATTTGTGGCTACTGTTTTTGATCCGGGGGGGGAAGTTAAGCAGGGTTTTTTAAAATATATTCATTTTGCCCAGTTTGAAACATGTCGCTTTTTCCACCAAGAGACAGGGAAACTACCATTTACAAGTTGCAATGTTCAGGTGTATAATGCATCCGGATCCCTGTTAAGCAAATGGAAGGTTGGGATTTGGTTCCTTGTCGCTGCACATGCGTGCCATGCCCATAGTCCCTTTTTGGTCATGTGAAAAGTCCTTTTCGGTCGGTTTGGTTTGAAAGGCATGTGTTCCTCTGTTTGTGTTTTGCAACCAGGGCCATCTATTTATTCCACGGATCACCTAGGGGCGTGCCGTTGCGCACTTTCTCCGTTTCAAGTGCATGTGTGAAGTCAAGTTATTTAGCCAGCCAGCTAGTTAGCTAGTCCGGGTAGTCTTTTGGTTGTTACACATGCCGATGATCCGTATTCATGGGAGAATTAACGGGGGTAGGTACAAGGGGGGTGGGCAGTTGAGAGCGCAGGGTTCGTCAGCGTTCCTTTAGGGAGCAACTAGAGAACTCCCCAGCCCCTTGGACCGCCCCTTAGAGATTCCCCAATTTTCTGTCAGCGTGTATTTCCAGAGTGTCATGGCCTCCCACTTTTCTCTCAGCTTTTCACACGCAAGCACGCAGTTCCGAGTGGACCTACGCTTCCTTTATTCACTCCCTCATTTCAACTTCTGGCTTTGGACTATTGGAGTGGCAAACAACCAGTTTGGCAGCCTTTTCTGCCCAATCCACTCGACTAGGTCCCCCAATAGTGCCAACTTTTACCCACTTTTTGGGTTGGGAGGGTTCCCCTACTAAAATTAACGTCCAGAAAAAAGTTGGTACCCTTATTCGAACCTCTCTCTACTGGAGGACCTAGGTATAGATCTCTCGGGGGCACGGCCGTGCATAGGCATGTTTGCTCTTGAATATGTCCTGGTTTAGTTTTCCCGTGTTGGTTTTAAAGGGAAGCCATGACTACTGGGACAACAGCCTTGGATTCGTTGCACGCGTGGGACCTAGCCTCGGACCCGCATGAGGCACGCGCTGTCCGGAGCTGCTGCTGGCCCTGGACGCGGTGGGTGACCAGTCGCTGTCCCCCGACTTCTTGCGCACGGAAGAGAGGCAGGTCTTCAGCTTGAAGTGGAGGTTACGCAAACCACTGAGAAAAACGTCCCCCCGTGCATGTGGGGGTAACAACTTGTGATGGGGTGCAAAGCTGCAAAGGGGTGGAACCCCCAATTTCCGTGATTTCGTGAGTCGGCCTAGGTTACAACCCACCTACTGATGGTTGCGAAATCCATTTCACGCCACTTTGAAATCACGGTTGGAGCAATTGTTTGCTTGGTATTTACGTTGGGGAATCATCCATGCAGGGTTTCTTAGGTGGTGTAGTGGGAATCACCACATACTAACTTGGCAAATCGCACATCCAAGTACTTGGGTCGATTCGCCAAGTTAGTAAGTGGGTAGGAACCAAGCTAGGTTACAACCTATTTGCAACTGACCCTCACTCAGAAGCAGGTTAGGTCACTAGCCACTTGACCGAGTTGTCCGCATTAGCCCCACGGCTGACTGGTGCCCCCGTATCGCCCGAGCCTCCAAGGGGGCCTGGGAGGGAGGGGGGAGTTATCCGCATTAAACCCACGGCTGACGGGCGCCCCCTGAGCCAATGAATGGCTTTTCCTGTCCACACACAAAAGGTGATCGACCTTGGGTATTTTCGCGACCCTTGACTACCAAAGGAGGTATTTCAACACGTACATCATAACAAGCGGGCAGGAGGCAGGCCCAACCCCATCAGATCCCATTGCTTCTTGCAGGTCAGTTGCATAAACCATTCTTCACGGCATGCTTGGGGACCGGCTCAGTTAGTAAGGATCAACCACTCGACACCCGTGAAAGGAGGCGAGTCCTGACCAGGGTTGCCAGCCAATTGCTAAGAGGGATGGTCATCCACTAGTGGGTTTTCAGGAGGCTCAGTCTGCCTCTTTTAAGCACAGAACATTCGGTGTTTTGCCACAGCATCGAATGCGCCAAACGGGGAGTCTACCTGTTCCAAACGACCCTTGGTACGTACTCCCTTGAGGCTTGGGCAGGGCTCTCACCCTTCAACTGAGATCTCCTCCATAAAACAATTTTATATGGCCCAGTGGACCCATATACCTGAGTAGGTAACCAAGGGCCCCAGCCTCTAAAAATCAAAAGCAACCTGGCTGGTTGGAAACTGGGATCCACTGGGTGCGATTCTTAGATAGAATCAGACTTGATTCATATTTATTTTCTGCTTGTATCCAAAAAATGTGAGCCAAGAACTGGTTCAGACGACCTCAAAAAGGCAAGGGCTGTGAGCCCAGACCTGGTTGAGACGACCTCAAAAAGAGAAAGAAGGGCAACGCTATGCAACGCTTCTTTCGCGAGGCAGGCGTTCTGGCGCCCGCTCTGCCAAGAGTTTCGGGATGTGCTCAAGAGCCTTTGCGTGCGAGAAGGCTCGGATCGGGGGCCCGGGGGCCGGGAGTTTCGGCTTTCCGCCCGGCTCCAAGGACTCAATTTCAGCGCGCTCCAAGTATGCAAATGTTTTCTTCCCCAGAATTAGCTCCCCTTTTTCCTTCTCTGCTTTTTTTGGGTCCCTTTGTTTTCCACTAACCAGGCAAAGAAGAGATATATATATATATATACATATATATATATATGTATTTGCTGGGGTCCTAATTCCAGCCTAGTCTTGTTGTTTGTTATTATTATTGTGATTATTGTTGTGCTTATCGTCATTAGTTTTGTTTTGTTGTTTCGATTTTCCCTTGGTGTGAACATCTACGTAAGTTGGGCAAAGGGGGGAGGCCATCCGCATTGGCGATGCTTGGCTTCCCCTTTGGTTTCCCTTCCAGAACATGCAACAAGGGGGTCTTTCAGCTTCCTTGTGGTCTTCTGTATGTCAGGTTGCTTTCCAAAACAGTATTCCATTTTTTATTTTTTTTGTTTCGGTTTCCCTATGTTTTGTCCAGCTTCTTGCTATTGCGTTTTGGCTAACCCATCTCCCGAGGCCTGTGTGACGAGGACGCTTGCGATTTTCGTGGACTGCCCTGGGGGCAGAGCAGCGGACGAGTGCACGCGGCACTTCCGGGGCGGCTCGGATAAGAGCTGAACTCGCTCCCTGACCCGAGCTAGGTCCCCCAGTAGTGCCAACTTTTACCAACCTTTTTTTGGGGGGAGGGTTCTCCTACTAACACATAACAGACTACAGGCAAAAAGGGTACCCTTATTCTAACCTCTCTACTGGACAACCTAGCTGGGGTTCCTTGCCCCCATAAGAAGGGCCGGGGACCCAAGACGACAAGAATCCCTAGGAAAACAATGGTCCATTAAGAACCACCCAAAATCTAGACAGTGGTTTGCACCCAAGGGCTGAGTTGCCGGACTCTCATACTTTTGGGGACAAGTTTAGTGGCAAGCAGCAAGCTCGGACGTTTTTTGGCCCATCCACTCAGGAGGTGAGACTTAGATGGCGTAGATGGCCTGGAAAGCATCACCAAGTGGTTGGCAACCCTGGACAAAGACACTGTTATGCTAGGGGCACCTGCCATTCTTTCCAGGGATCCTTCTTTCAAGAAAACCTCCGGAAACCCAGGGAAAACGGTCAGTTTTTGGAAAGAACGATGGTTGAAAAGAATGGGGACTCGGACTCAAGCCCTAGAGTTATACCCCTGGCGAGTCGAACAAATCCTGCAAGCCTTCGTTGCTGAGGTCTTCCCTGGTGGTCGAAGGCGCTGCGCGGAGCGAGTTTGTTCCGGTGGGATTCGCAGTTTGGTTGGTCTATTCTGGAGTTTCCTCAGAAAGGATCCAACATATAAAGGCTGACTAAACACAACCATTTGTGTTTCAGAATATGTTTTCTTTCTTTCCCCTCTTGGTTTTGAAGGGAAGTTCTCACTGGATTGTTTTCCAGGAAAACTCAAGCAACTGGAAGAATCATCGGGGGTGTTTACTGCAACAAGATACCCACTTTTCGGTTCAAGGGAAACCGCCAGGCACCATTCTTCTTTTTGTGGGGGGGGTTCCCCTGAGAACTGTTTTTTCTTTTTTTCCGCGGGGAGGCGGGTCCCCTTAAAAAACCCACTTTTGTGGTGGGTTGCTAATACCCACTTTTCTGGTGGTTTCGTGCTCGAAACCAGGGAAACCACCAGGAACACCACCTTTTCCGTGTTTGGGCGTCCCCTTAAAACACCAAAACACCAAAACGCCCAGGCCCGTACGACCAGCTCTCGTTTTCTTCGCGTCCGTCCGCTTCGGAGGCGCCAGCCGGGCGCACCAGCAGCTGCTGCGCAGGGCCAAGGTCTCAGAGCGCTTCGCGGAGAGGCAGCGGCAGAAGGCCTTGGCCATCCAGCGACTCGCCAAGACATGCCGAGCCAATTTGATTCGAGCACATTTTTCGGCAAACAACTTTTTTTGCACAAATGTTTGTATCAATTGTGTTTGTTTTAGGCATTTCTCCCTCGCGTGACTTGGGTTCTTTTTCGGGTTCGGACCATTTCAGTGTCGAACAGATTGCTTTCAGGGAGTATGGCTATGACCTTCCGCCTGCTATCTGGGCCAATGACCAAGGCTTGACATGAAGGAGCCAAACAAAGGGCCATGACATATCCTTAGATGCTTGTTTGTTTATCACCAACTGTTTTTTGTTGTTGTTTTGTCAAGAGAATAATATGATGAACTCTGTTTGAAACCAGGGGAATCATTTGACTCGGCGCGCGACGTACCGCGGATGGATGAAATCCGCTTCTCGCACCGAAGGAAACACCGAAGGAAATTTGGTGTCGGATGAACCTGGACTTTGCCCATTCTAGGGGTCCCCGGAAAGCTTGAGAGTCTCGGTCAGACGTATGGCTATGACCTTCCGTCTGCTATCTTGGCCAATTTAGACCTAACCGAATCATCTGAAACCAGGGAAGCTGACAATTGGTGGTGTGGATGGGTGAGAGTTTGGTTTTAAGGTTGGTTGCCTTGGGGTAGTTGAACAATAAACAATGGTTTCGCATATTCCCTAGCAAATACCTTTTGTTTTCCCCCTATCGGGTTTCTCAGAAATGTTGGTTAAAAGACAAAACGCGCGACCCTGGAATGACGATTCCCCGCCGGGTCCCCGATTCAAATCTGCACCCATCTGGGAGCAGCACGTCGGAGGGCGATCAATATCTTCGGCCCCCAGCTTTGACCATGGAGAACTGTTCTCATTTAGTGGGAAGTATCATCATGTTGGTCGTTTTCCCTAGAATGGTCATCCCATGTAAAGGGACCTTTTGATTAACCCGCACGTCTTGGGGCAACCCACTCGTTTGGGTACTCATGTTAGGTCGGGTTAAAAGGACGCCAAAAGGAACGCCACATGTTTTGGGGTTCCCAAAGCATATCCTCCTGCAAAACCACACTTTTTTTTCGAGGGCGAGTTTGAAGAACCAGGTATGCTGCATCGTAGCCTGGAGTGGACCTGTAACCGTTTTTCCGCCAGCCCAAGCTGAACTTTTGCGTTGCGCCGAGGAGCTGCATGCAGGCAACCTCCAAGTGGGCGAAGCAGTGAGCCAGCCGGACATTGGGGAGTTGATCAATATTTCTGGCTCCAACATGACAATGGGTAACTTTTCCCATGTGCCCATGGGTCAAAAGCCAAATCGTAATTTCAGTGAACATCCCAATCCCCACTAAAACAGGTCCTAAAAAGGGTGGTGCACCTACCCCAAAATGGGATCCCATTGGTTTTGACCCACAGCGATGTGGAGGAGGTCACATCGTTTTTGTGGTTTCCAACCAATGGTCATCCCATGTATCACGGACCTTTCGATCAACCCCCGATGGGCTGGACATTTTACATCGCCGGAACCCGCGCGGCGAGAAAAGAACCTCCGATGCGGACGCCCCACGAGGTTGGATCCGTGGCTTAGCAAAGTTTGAGCCTGAAAAGACTCGGGATTTTTTTTCTTTCACCTGCCGGGAATTCAACATCCGCCGGTTTTCTCACCTGCCTGAATAGACTCCGGTTGTTTGGCTATTCAAAATCTGCCGAGTAGTATTGGGAAGGCCGTTCTGCAGTTGAGCGGTCTGGATTTTTCACCTGCCATTGAGAATTCAAAATCCGCCGAGTAGTATTGGGAAGACCGTTCTGAAGTTGAGCGGTACGGTGGGTTGTATATGTTTGCCAGCGAACCGAACAAATTAAACCACACATCGCTGGTAGATTCTGCTAGACTACTTGGGTTCAACTTGTTCCCTCCTAGCACCCAGTGATCATGTAATGTACATGGACGAAATCCTGCACCACTTGAAACCGTTGGAAACCATTGTTTGTTGGTATTTACCTTTGGGAATCATCATTCCAGGGCACGGATTTCGTTCATTCACAGCAGGGACCACGACACCGCCCTTTAAGAAGAAGGAAATGGTTGGTGACCGATGGCGGCTATCTGAGATTGTTCTCTTAGGCGCGCACCTCATCAACTTCAGAACCATAGGCGTCCTTTTTAGGTTAGTTTGGTTAAACATAGATGGCACTGGTTTAGATGGGTTTTGTTCCATTTACCAGGGCCATCTATTTTTCCAAAAGGCCACCTATGTTCAGAACAGTTTTCCTTTGACCTTGCAAATCCACTAGATCAAGGGCGAGGTATGGATGTTTACCCACAAGCTTGAAAGGCAGTATGTACCCGTTATATTTTTAAATGTTGTATAGCATCCATACTGTGGATGGAAGATATCCATTTTGCACCACCTAAGAAACCATGGAAGGATGACCCCCCCCCCCCCGGCAATTACCAACAAACGTTCTGGTTGCCAATGGTTTCTTAGGTGGTGCGAACGCATTCTGTCCATCCACAGTATGAATGTCTTGTGATTACCGTTGACGCCTGCAATTAAACAAGCAGCCCAATTTCCACCTTCTCGCTGCTTGCTTCAATCATGGGTCCTGAGAATACCTCCAAAAATCCCCTCTCCCAGAAGATGACTTTGATCGGTGGATATCAGTCACTTCAACAGGGCGCCGGGCATGTTGCCTGCAGAAGCTCTGCACACACACACACACACGCACACACGCATAGAATGTACATACATACATACATACATACATACATACATACATACATACATACATACATACATACATACATACATACATACATACATACATACATACATACATACATACATACATACATACATACATACATACATACATACATACATACATATGCATATATGTGTATACACACCCTTGACACCAAATACTCACTTGTTTTTAGTGTATGATAGGGTATTCCTTACCTTGTAACTTATCAAGAGTCTTTTAAACAAAATGGAAGCCCCGTTTTTGATGTTGTTGTTTTTTACAAAACAACTTGACAACAGTGGGTATCGCCAAAATCCTGTACCCCCTGCATTTGATCGTGATTTTTCGCCCCACCCCCCCCCCCCCCCCCGCGCACGGCTTCGGGCGGAGCTCCGAGAACGGAGTCGGAGCTCCGGCCAGGGACCTGGAGCAGGCGCAGCAGGAGGTCCAGAGCTTGCAGAGCCAGGCTCGGGGGTTCGAGTTGGCTCGATGCTTTGGCTGGGAACCCAGACGAGCGTCCTGGAAAGGAAGTCCAAGGAACCCCGAGCAACCCCTAGCAACCCCAAGGAATGCCAAGGAACCCCCAAAAGAACCAAATAGGAATCCCAAGGAACCCGGAAGAACCCTTTTAAGGAACCCTACAATGGGTGCGTGTTGCTTTTGGGACCCCTAAAATGTCGGTTTTCCTCTCGGTGTCCCTTGAAAAACCAAGCAGAAGGTTGGGTTCCAATACAAAAAGACACAACCACCCAAACAAATTCATCTTGGCGGTTCAACCAGCGAATCATCCGTTTTAACTTAGGTGTTTAATTGTATTTGGTTGGTTTAGTGGTTTAGTTTCCGTTAAACACACCAAAAAGGCGGGATGCCTTACCGTGGTGCTCGATTCGCCAACTGAAGTGGTTAGTAAACTGGGTTATAGTCTACCTTCATTTGGCCTAACTCACTCATAAGTAGGTTGTACCCTAGGTGCATAGCCACTTACTAACCTGGCAGAACACCCAAGTAGGTATTTGAGCTAAATCAGCAAGCAAGTACATGTTGGTAGGGTTTGTTGCGGAAAATGTAGGAGGGACTTAGCACATATACACATGAACAGCACCCAAACCCCTGAAAGGCCTTGTATATACGCAGGCATGCAGGCAGGCAGGCAGGCAGGCAGGCAGGCAGGCAGGCAGGCAGGCAGGCAGGCAGGCAGGCAGACGGAGACAGACGGACACCCTGATACATGTACATTCTCGGAAAAATACATGTATATGTATACACACACACGTACAGCTACCTATTCATATGTCTACGCGTGTTTGCAAGCATGCGTTTACATAGTTGGCGCGTTTTTGTTTGTCCAATTACTATTTACGGTTACTTTCTCTTATTCTTGGCATGGTGTTTGGCGCAACCATTTGGGTGGCAAATAACAAGTTTTGACTTGTTTGGCCCGTCCCTTTCGGCGTCAACTTTGGGTCCTTCGTTGGCCCCAAGGGCTGAGCTCAGTGCCTGGTCGACGTGTACCCTGGACCGCATATAAGCTGACGGCACACTTTTGATCCTGGGCGGCTTAAGCATCGCCTGGTTGCATATGAGTCCAGATTAGTTTCATGTGGCAGCTAGGTGTCTAGGTCAGCTAGGGGCCCTTTTAGCCCCTTTTGTGGTTGGGCGGGTTCCCCCTAGTAAAATAGATTACAGAAAAAAGGTACCATCATTCTAACCTCTCTACTGGAGGACCTGGGTATTGTTGCAGCAGAACTCAGAAGGAAACCTGTTTGTTGGTCCGGGCTCGAATGAATCTTTGCGACCTGGAGCTTTTGAAGTGAGCCCGGAGTGTGGGTTGGTGAAAGATGCTTCACCCAGACCTACTTGTTGGTCGCCCTTTGCGAAGCTCACTCCCGGAGTTCCTGCTAGATCCCCCAGTAGTGCCAACTATTGCCCTTTTTGTTGCGGGGAGGGTTCGCCAACTAAAATAGACATCCTGAAAAAAGTTGGTACCCTTATTCTAACCTCTCTACTGGAGGACCTAGCATATAGACTTTAACTTTTGGGAAGACCATGTCAGTGGTACACCAAAAGTCTAGGGTTTTGCGACAATTCGCTCAAATCAGGCAAACATAAACTGGTGGTTTTGGATTTTGGCCTGGTTCTTGTGGGTGAAGGAGAAACCACCCCGGAAGACTTTCAACTCAACGGGATCCAAAACACCATTTTCGGAATATATAAATAGGTCCCTGCTCTCAGTTGTTCAGTTGTCCCAAGCCTATCCACCTGAAACGACCTTGTGGTTGTTCCTTTAGGGGTTCATTTTTTGCCAAGGTGCTAAGAGGGGATCACCTTTGTCTTCAGGGGTGTCAGGGACAAGTGAGACTGTAGTGCAGTGAATTGTAGTGAGTAACAAGCAGTTGGCACACAGAGCTGTCCTTTCTAGGCTAGTTCGGTTAGACGTAGATGGCTTAGATTGGTTTTAGATGGGTTTTATTCCATTCACCGCCATCCATTTGTCCAAATGCCGTCTATGTCAGCAGGTGGAATCCCAAGTGTGGATGTCCCAGCCTTTTGGCAAGCCAGCGTTTCAAGCCTCCAGGGGTTAAAGTACATACCCCTTTTGCCTACTCCTTGGGCAAGTGAACCCAACAGGCCTGCTCATGTTCATTCCCCTCTCCCCAAACGGGGCATTTACCATTTTCTCCTGGTTGGACACCAGGGAAGCCAGGAGGTACGAAGAAGGGGAACGTACTTCCACCCTTTGGAAGCGTGCCACGTGCGCCCTCGCCAGTTGGACCGCCACAAGAACGAGTCCGCCGGCCGCAGCTCGGACCACGAGAGGCGGGAAAACTTGGGACCCGAGCGATCGAGCGCCTGGAGGAGTTCTGAGATTCTGGGACTGGGTGCGTCTGTTTTGAGGCCTTATGTTGACCCCGGATGAAGAAACCCCAGCTTAATATGGGGCTGTTTTTTGGTTTTAGTGGGGATTTAGACCACTTTTGGAGGGGACTACCCCCATATTAATAGACTCGGGTTTGTTAATCCGGGGTCAACAGTACCCTTTTTCTGTTTGATGGAAACCACCCCCTTTTTGAGGGCCCCAAAAACCATCGGAGCCCTTCAGGTGGTGACATATTCCAAACCCAATTTTTAGGCCACCATATGGGTGTGGCTCAAAATTAAACAGGGGGGGGTTACGCAGGTTTTGGTCCATGTTTCCACATACCGGGTTTTTTTGAGCCACAGCCATATGGCCACCAATTTGTGTGGCTCCATAGGGATTACCGCATTGTTCTTCCTGGTCCCTTGGCATATGCTGTTTTTTTTTTTTGAATCTGCAACTTTAAACAACTCATTGTTGTTGTTGTTTTTCTGTTTTTGTCTTTTTTGTTTTTGAAAGATCCTTTAATTCATTGGCATTTTTCTCTTCTTTGTTTAGACATCCTTTAGTCACAGCCCCAGAACTTGAAACTCCTTTGGGCCAGGACTTTGGGCCTAACCGT